CCCCCCCCCCCCCCCAACATTCACACAACCAGGGCCTGAGCATTCCAGGCCTGCGTGACCTGGCCTTCGGCAGCCAGCCACAGCCTCCTATCCTGCCATCCCTGGAGCAACAGGAGCCATCCCTGTCTCTTTTGGTGCCTTGAACTCACTTAAGCAAAACAGCCTTTGTGTACACTGTTCTCTCTGCCTGGAGATTTGTTTCTGTCCCCTTTGCCTGGTGAAGACTTCATCATAGCAAGGAGAAGGGCCCAGTGATTCTGTCACCACTCGCTTCTACAAGTACTTTTCGTTTGACCAAACCTCACTTTTGTTTTAATTCTGTTTATTTTGGGATCCTGGCACAAGCATACTTCACATCTCAATCTGTATAATTACTTTGAAGGGAAATTTAATTCATTTGTATCTGATGCCCAGAAAAGCTAAATGTCCATCATTTTCCATTTTTAAAAAGCAGTGGTGTTTTAAAGCATCTCTATTTGAGCCAAGAAACCAAGTAGGACCTCAGTTTTAAGATGTTCATCTTCTAAAGCTCTTGATTAATCAGAGCTTTAGCAGATGATTTTTCAAATAAATATGAAGATTATATAAATACACAACAATAATAAATATCTCTAAATCTGAAGAACAGCAGTTTGGGGGCTTAACTTCAGTGTGGGACAGGGCATGGCTCCCTACTCCTCAGACTTCCCCAGTGACTAGGGAAGGTCCTCCAATAGTCCAAAAATGGGGGAGAGTGAAGGGAAGACAAAAAGGAGAAAATGAGAAAAAAACATGCACATCAAAAAAATTTTTTAGGTTCGGCGCTCCTGGCTAGGGGGTATATCTTCATGAATAACTTAAATGACCCCCCAAATTGGAATATCCGGCCCAATTACAGGGATGATGGGGGTGATGGAAGCAAATGGAATTATGCCCTGTTGGTTCCCATGTTGGGATTGGCTGCTTTTCGTTGGATTTGGTCTAGGGAGTCCCAAAAAGAAATAGAAAAAGAGCGAGAAGCATACCGTCAGAGGACGGCTGCTTTCCAGCGGGATCTTGAAGCCAAGTACCATGCCATGATCTCAGAGAACCGACGTGCCGTTGCTCAGTTTGTCTTTGGAACTTGAAAAGGAACAAAACAGAACGACTAGTTATCGAGAAGCCCTTATCGTTCAGGGACGCAAATTGGTGGAAGAAAAGAAGCTTTGGGAACAGGAACGGGCTCAGGTCATGAAAGAAAAGCGGCAGTTGCAGCCCTTGAGAAGTGCGTATCTGAGCTGCGTGGAAAAGGAGGAAGACTGGCAGAGGAGGGCCCAGCTGCTGCTGAAAGAGTTTGAAGGCGCTCTTTCAGAAAGACAGAGTATCTACTGCAGCCTGGTTCTCCCTCGCAGCAAGCGGCTGGAAATAGAGAAGAACTTACTGGTCCGAGCATCCACTGACCCAGTTGCTGCTGACCTAGAAATGGCAGCTGGCTTGACCGACATATTTAAGCATGATACCTACTGTGGTGATGTCTGGAACAACAACAAACGCCAAAATGGGAGACTCATGTGGCTCTATCTCAAATACTGGGAACTAATTGTTGAACTGAGAAAGTTTAAGAAATTAGAGAAAGCCATACTAGAAGAGTAAGACAAGAATGAAATGACACTTCTTTTAATGACTCAGGTCAGACTGTCATTGTGACATTCTGGGTTATCTGATGGTTTCTTTTTTCCCTTCCTCCCGTGCTACCTGTGTGTGGCCACATGCACTGAGGGGCCTTGCAGCCTGCACCTCTGAGCGGTACAACAGCCCTCAGCAGACACGGGGTTTCCTCCCCATCCCCACAGTTATTCAGGAGGCAGTTTCTCAGAAGCAGTCTTTCAGCTATCAGCATTTTATCCAGCGGAGAGTATAACCTCATATCTTAGCTTTAGGGTAAAATTGTTTTTAGGAAAGCGAAATACAATAGTGATCCCCACTATAAGAAATTTCCTGTCTGCTTTTATCACTCCCTAAATAAATACTGTTTTTCCCTCGAATTATTTCTCTTCTAAAATTACATTTAGAAGTTGTCAGGTAGTGGATTAGAACTGCCTAACAGATGATAATAGGAAAATACTAATATTGTCAAGGTTTTGTATTGTTTTAAAGATCTCCCACCAAAGGGAAAGGGGGTTTCTTGTATCCAGTTGATACCCTAGTGAATGTTTGGAATTTGACTTGTGTCTGTATTCAATAGATATTGTTGACTAGTGCTGACATATAATAAAAGATACCTACAATTTAAAAAAAAAATTTTTTTAAGTCCCCTAAAAAAATGAGCATTTAAACTGCTTGTCAGACGGCTTCCTGACAAAGCCACCAGAGTGTCTTCACTGGCATTTACATAAACGCTGCCGGTGAGTTCACCACAGCTGCGAAGGCTAATGGAACCTAATTAGTCACTTCTCCCGGCACCAATGTCAGGATGATGAGCACCAGCTCTTTGCCTTGTTGTATATTAGATCATCCTATATAATAAATGCCTAATATGCAAATTGACCACACAGCTGAATGACCGGCAGAATGGCCAGTCGCTATGACATGCAGTGACCACCAGGGGGCAGATGCTCAATGCAGGAGCTGCCCCCAACCCGCAGGCCCCAGGCCAGCCAAGGCAGGTGTGAGTGGGGTGGGGAGGGGGGGTGTGGGGGGGTTGCCCCACAGAGGGGGGCAACTGGCAGTGGCGGCAGGGGGGCGGGGCGGTGAGCGGGCAGTTCCAGGCCGGCTAAGGCGGGTGCCAGTGGGGGCTCTCTGATTGCCCCACAGATTGGCCCTGATTGCCAGCCAGGCCTAGGGACCCTATCCGTGCACGAATTTCATGTACCGAGCCTCTAGTTAGGTAATAAAGTGTTAGCTGACAGGGTCCCTGCACTATAGCTTTGTGAGGGCACTGCATTTTGCCATGGGGGTGGAAAATATAAAGAAACTAATGCCACAATTGGCCTTAAACCCAAGTAAACCCAACCTGAAACTCAGGAGAACAAGGACAGTATTAACACTTCCCAAGCCCTTTGAAGATCCCCAGTGCACAATCCCAGGAATTTATCCAAGTGAGGGGAAGACAGGGCAGGCACACAAGCTGGAGCAGTTCACAACTGTGGTGGCGACAATTCAGTGTCTTTGGCCCTATGCCTGCACTTTTTCAAAAATCAGAACTCTAAGAGCAGTTACGTCCTGAGGCTGCCTGTCTCCCCAAGCATACCTCTCCCATAAAGCTATTGCTTAAGGAGGAAACCTCACTACCTAAACTCTCCCACAAATACCCAGCAAAGAACATCTCAGTATTTATGGAATGAGGAAAAAGAGGGTGAGAGCAGTTACCAACAGCTTCAGTAAGCAGGGATTCAGTCACCCTCTGTGGATCACACAAGATTCCAGGAAATAAATTTGCCTTTGGCAACTCTCCTACTTGAAATACAGGGACAGTTATGTGAGCACAAGAGTTGTGAGTGTGTGGGTCACACAGGGAGACTGCATGAGTGTGAAGAATGATCTCAATTTCTCTCATTCGCAGAAAGATGGAGCCGCAAAAGGGAACTTTCCTCCAACTGTCTGACACACAGGATATAAATAGAGATGTGCCGAAGATCAAAATAAGTCAGGCTGCCTGTAAACGAGATGGTGAAAAGCCCAGAATGAGGGAAAACGAAGGCTCCTACAGGTCACCTAAGAGGCGAAAATACTGGTTGTCTCACTGTGCAGTGGCTGCTGGAGGTGGGGGCGTGGGAGTAGAGGGGCCAAGGAGGGGGGCGTGGTTCTGTAAGTCTTAAAAAGGGCAATTTCAAATAGGATTTTTCAATGGCCAGATAAAGTATTACCATACCCCAAATCAACATGAGTTAGCATCATAGGTCCACACCCACACACCACCAATGAAAGAGCCCGTAGTCACCCTTTGCTGAGTAGATATTTATGTAGCTATTGTATGAGTGGATGGTTATGTGTGGTTGGTTGATTAATTCTACAGAGAAGCAGATTTCCATGGTACTGTTGTTACTAAGAACCTTAAGGAGCTGTCTACCCTTTGAATCTTCTGGAGAGAAGTGAAGTAAGGCTTTGGAGAGCGAGAGGCCCCCTAGCTGAAGGAGATAGGACATACCCACATCTCCAACGATGATTAACCATTAATAAATAGTGAAATGTCATCATTTTCTTGAATCGTATGCTAATAATAACATGGCCAGTTGTGGACTGGTAAACTGAAGCAGAGGAATAAAATGTTGTTTTTAAAACTTAGAATAGCCCTAGCCGGGTGGCTCAGTTGGTTGGAGCATTGTCCCATACACCAAAAGGTTGTGGGTTTGAGTCCCAATCAGGACACTTACCTAGGTTGCAGATTCTATCTCTAGTCAGGGTGCGAATGAAAGGCTACAGGTTGATATTTCTCTTTTATCTTTCTCTCTCTCTCTCTCTCTCTCTCTCTCTCTCTTCCTCCCTCCCTTGCTTTCTCTCAGTCTAAAAATCTATAAAAACATATCCTCGGGTGAAGATTTAAAAATAAGAAATAAAAAAACTTAGAATAATATAATATCACAACTGAAATATTAATATATACACCTAGAACTAAAAATTTAAGCTGGGAGGAAGCTTAGAGACTCCAAATCGTTAGCCCATGGCTATATTCCTCCTAGGTGACTCCCCAACACCGCCCCCCCTTCTCTCTCCAGGGTTTACAATTTTGTAATTAATTACCAACAATTAAAAATTAGGAGTCTTGCCAAAATGGAACATCTAGCCCCAATAGGCGTTCACTCCCCTTGGTGACAACTGCCTGGGGCTGGGGCGGTGGAGCACATCTCTTGTTCCACAGTCTCCACCCAGCCCACTTCCCCTGTGTATGTGATCTGCCCACAGCCAAGGTACACACCCATTTTTCTATCCCCTCCCCCGCCCTGAGGATCATCACCTTTGTTTGGCTAAGAAGGAAACTAAAGATCCCAAAAGGTTGACCTCACCGGTTTGGCTCAGTGGATAGAGCGTCGGCCTGCGGACTGAAGGGTCCCAGGTTTGATTCCGGTCAAGGGCATGTACCTTGGTTGCGGGCACATCCCCAGTAGGAGGTGTGTAGGAGGCAGCTGATCGGTGTTTCTCTCTCATCGATGTTTCTAACTCTCTATCCCTCTCCCTTCCTCTCTGTAAAAAATCAATAAAATATATTTAAAAAAAAATAAAGATCCCAAAAGGTAAGGTGACTTGTCCAAGGTCACACCAAGGGTAGAGGTGAAACTACAAATTTAATTTAGGTTCCCTGACTCTAATTGTCAGACTCTTTCCAACACATCATGATGCAAAATAATGTTCCTGACCTCCACACCAAGAGGCGTCCTTTCTATCTGGTTGTTTTCTGCTGTTTGTGTTGGTTTCTTCGGTGGAGGGACGATTGGCCTGGCATCCTCTGCTGTCTCCCCAGCTTCCCAAGGGCCGGAATGGGAGCTGAGTGAGGTGTGTACTTGGAGCACACTTTGAAACTGTGAACCCATGACTGGCACATTTCAAAGTGACAGTCAAGTGTGTCCCAGACAGGACAGTAACTGATCAGTCACAGTCACAGACAAGACTTCAGCTTTTAAGCCAGAGCTCTCCAAATTGTGCCCACTAGTATTTACTTATCTTTTCCTCCTTCCTTTTACCTAAACATCTCCAGTCATACAATGTCTTAAGTGACTCCAAAGGTATTAAGAAGGCAATAATACTGTAAAGTGAGGATCAGAATAATTTTAAGTACAGAAATGGAACTGTGAATGTAATCATGAGCAAGTGATTAAAATGGCCTCCTCAAAAAGTAATATCCATCTGGCTAATTAATAAAAAGGCCAACCACGAGAGAGAGGAAGAGAGAGAGAGAGAGAGAGAGAGAGAGAGAGAGAGAGAGAGAGAGGAGAGAGAGGAAGAGAGAGAGAGAGAGATTGAACCTGCAACCCAGGTATGTGCCCTGACTGGGAATTGAACCGGCAACCCTCCAGTACACAGGACAATGCTCAGCCAACTGGCTGGGCTGAATTTTTATTATTTTTTAGCGGATTTATTGAGAGGTAACACACCACATGCTTTTCATAAATATCAGCCCTGAAACCATGATTAATTGACTCTACCTTACACTTGAATATGCTGGTTGTTATTAGTTATGTGGGCAGACATATCAAGGGCAAATATCAAGTTCATGAAACATGGTTTATAGGGAACAATCTGGAGCTTAGGGACTTGCATTCTCATTTGAAATTACCAATCATATACTTTTGTGTAAATCAATCTTCCCAGGTCTCAGTTTCTCTGTCTATAAAATGAAGAGGTTGACTGTGATCTCTTGAGTAACTGTGAGCTCTGTGGTGCTATGGAAGTGCACACACTGAACAAGCTGGAAGTAATATTAAATGTATTTGATGGCATAAAGGTGGTGACAGGGAAATGCAGGAAGGAAAGACAGAAGAAGACCATGGGTTTTGAGAAACTCTTCAGTCTGTGATCTCACTTGCCTTTTGTAAAGAACCCTTGGCGTCTAAGTTTCTAAGACAAAAGTCACTCTCCCAGGGCTGAGATTGCTTGGGTCTGAGATGTTAGCTCGGTGATGGAGAGTGTGGCGGTAATTCAGTATTTTCCATCAATTGATGCCTGAAGCCCCTAGGGTGGGTGGGGAGGGGACACCTTGTGTATATGAGATGGAATAGAATATTGAGGTCCCCAAGGAGGGGAGAAAGCATTGGTGACAAGACTGTGTCTTCCCTAAGTGGAAGAGTTTAAAAGTTCAGGTCAAAGTCAGAATATTAGCACAAATTCCTCATTTTGTAAGTTTTATAAATGAAGAAACTGAGATCCAGCAAGATTATATGGTGTAGGCCAATTTGTGTTAGAACAAAGCTAAGAATTAGGCTTATGATGGAGTGGAAAGGGCCCATAAAGGTAAGGGTAATGAACATGCCATTCAATGTGATATTCTCCAGCTCCTGGTCCAGTGCCTGACACATAGTAGGTGCTTCATAAGCAATGGTCATCACTGACCAATTTACTGACTTTCTGAATGAATGCATGTGTTTCCACCTTGTGTTCCCTGGTAACCAACTAGACCAACACATGATCCATTTGAAACAAAGGACTATTTTACTGGAGGTATCAGAAGGCTTTCTCTACTCACTGAGAGACACTATTTTTTCTTTATTGAGTAATACTTTCTGAGTATTGCTTCCTCTTTGTTTATACTATCAGAATGAATATCAGAGCCCTTACAGGAAGTTGGTGGAGCATGACAGAGAACTGGGGTTTCCTTTGATGTAGACTTGGTGGCTTTAACAGAGGAATGATCAGTAGTCTGCCGCACTGGTGTGCTGGTCTGGCACTCAGGGAAGTGGCCACCACTCCCATGATCGTGGAGTAGAAATTCAGTTGAAGGAAGTACACAGTTCAATTGAAGAATTAAAACGGCACCTCAACAGAGCCACTCTTGGGCTTTTCTTATAACCCATGTTTTCACATCTTTCCTTCGACTGTGTCCTTCTGTGGCTGCTACTACTTACAAGTAAGTCTGGGCATGGACTTTTGCAATTGGGTTGTGCAAGATAAAGATACAAGGATGGCCTTCATAATGTTTGCAGTAGAGAAAGTTTGGAAGCAACCTAAATGTTCACAAACAGGGAAGTGGACAAAATAAATTGTGATATATCTATGAAGCAAAGAGTAAATCTGATTAAACAAAATGATATGAAGTGTCTCTGAGTTAATGTTAAATTTTTTTTTTAAAGGAGAGGAACAATGTGTATAGTAGACTTCTTTCTGTCCTTTGTGTTGCAGGGTGTGGCCCTACACAGATACTTCTTAATGTGTAGACTTTGGGAAGGGAGCTGGGAATGGGAAAGAGCAGAGGGACTAGACTTTTCATGCACCTTTTATACTGTTTGTTTTACAGTGTATGTTTTTTTTAAAGAAACCAATTAATTATAAACCTAAAAAGGGCTATATATTAACTTCTTATTCAGGTAAGGGTTTTTATTCTTATGTGCCTGGTACTTAAGAAAAAAAAAAAGAGAAAGAGAGAGAGAATTGTGTTAGGATAACAGCTCTTCATTGATGAACAACAACTAGCCCAAATGGCTGAGATGTTTTCCTGGCTGACAATGAATGATTATTATTATTATATATTTTTTCACTCTTTCCATCATCCCTGCCTTGTTCACAGGACTGGGCCACAAGTCTCTCCTAGCACATTGGTTCTCAAAGTGAGGTTCCAACACCAGCCATGTCAGCAATTCCAGGGAACTTGTTAGAAATACAAATTTTTATGCACTACTCCAGATCTAGTAAGTCAGGAATTCTAGTAGTTGAGCATCTGTGTTTTAACCAGACGTCCCAGTGGTTCAGATGCCCCTCAAGTCTGAGAGTCTTGCCTTAGTGGATCCTCCTTTTAAACTGGAGAACAGCAGTGGTTTCTTTTCTTTTTTTTTCTTTTAATATATTTTATTGATTTTTTACAGAGAGGAAGGGAGAGAGATAGAGAGTTAGAAACATCGATGAGAAAGAAACATCGATCAGCTGCCTCCTGCACACCTCCTACTGGGGATGTGCCCGCAACCCAGGTACATGCCCTTGACCGGAATCGAACCTGGGACCTTTCAGTCCGCAGGCCGACGCTCTATCCACTGAGCCAAACCGGTTCCAGTAGCAGTGGTTTCTTTACTCTGCAAGCATTACTTGCACTTTTCCTGAAGTGGACCAACCTCACTCATCGCCTGCATCTTGCTCTCCTTTTCTCTTTATCCAGGGTCTTTGGAAGGGTCACGCACAGCCGAGGTGGGCAAGAATGCTTATCTGCCCTGCCACTACTCTCCAACCACCTCGGAGGACCTTGTGCCCATGTGCTGGGGCAGGGGACCCTGTCCTATAAGTCAATGTACGAGTACGATGCTCACCACTGATGGAAGGCGCTTGAAATACCAGATATCCAGCAGATACCAGCTAAAGGGGAATGTCCACAAAGGAGATGTGTCCTTGACCATAGAGAATGTGACTTTAGCCGACAGTGGGACTTACTGCTGCCGTATCCAATTCCCAGGCCCAATGAATGATAAAAAATCAAACCTGGAGTTGGACATCAAACCAGGTGAGTGGACTTTGCATGTTTTCTTTACAAATAATCCTCTGCAGATCATATTAAATATAATAATTGTTCTCACTTCTCTCCTCACCAGTGACAGCCCTGGTGGTGGACCCCTAAGACTTAACAGGCCTATAAGCAATGTCCGGCCGTGTTTAATTCTTCCATCTATATTGAAACTTATGGAAAGGATCTATATAATGGCAGGAAAGACCTAGATCAATAGTTGGAACCCTGGCTGCTCATCAGATTCACTTGGGGGGCTTTTTAACACCGATAGATGCTAGAGCCCTACCCACAAACCAGAGAAACCAGTGTTTCTGGAAGTAGAGCCTGAGCACTGGGAGTTTACAAAGTCTTCCGCAGGTGCTGCTCCCCCGCCTGAAGCCAGGATTGAGACCCACTGAAATGTGGGTGTGCACGGGGGTGCATGTGCTTGTGTGTTTTAAGGTTTATGGAGCATGTACTTGTGGCTGATGGAGCTGAATTCAACTCCAGTTCTGCCGCTTACTAGCTGTGTAATGTTGCACCAGTTACTTAAACTGTTTGACCTTCTCCTCTATGAAATATGGTAATACCTATCATATAGGCCATTGGAAGGATTTTAGGAGATGTATTATGAAAAGCATTTAGTGTGTGGCTATTAGTTCTATTATTAACAATTAGACTGTGACAATGATGACTGTAACACAGTTCGTAAAATGTGTGATATACTCTTAACGAAGGTGTTTAGGTTGAAGGTGAGCATGTGTTTCTCTTTATTTATTGTCCTTATACTCCTTGAAATAAGCTCTCTGCTCTCAGAGAAGCCTCCTTCTTACACTGCTTTCTGACACTAGCCAAGGTCACCCCTGCTGGGACTCCACGGAGAGCCTTCACTACAGCCTTTCCAAGGATATTTACCACTGAGGAACATGGCTCAGGTAATTTTACATGGGTATAGGAGGAAGCCTTTAGTTGGTTTCCGAGTTCAGAGGATTTTGAATATGGGGAAAACGAGGAAATGGTGTAAGAACTGACATATAAATGTTTCTGTACACATGAGAGAGAATTTCAGGTGAGGGAGGTGCTGGAATTAACCTGTACTGAGAAATGTAATGAGGCCTGGGACAGTACCTTTCACTTCTTTGGATCTCAGCTTTCTCTTCTGTCCAGAGAATTATGGTTTTCATGACCCAGTAAAATTCCTGACCCCCACCTAAAAGTATTTCTATCAACATATTTTGCCAAGTAAGAAAAGCAAAATTTCTATCTTAATATTGCTATCATTGCAAAAAAAGGGTTAGTCTTTTAAATTAAATAAATTTAATCTAATGAAAAACTCGTTACATTGCACTATTATTTTGTGATTTATTCCTGGATTGGTGATGTTTTGTCTTGAATTGACTCCAGTCCATGTTTGGGGTTGGATTCGGTGATTTCCTGGACTACTTCTAACTGGAATAAGCCCGGCATCCTCCTCAGATTTTGATCTCAGTAGGAGCAGCTAAATTCTTTAAGTAATTGAGCTAGGCCTTTTCCATGCTGTTCTGGAAGAGAAGATAGGGTTAGAAAAGCAGTCTTCAGGTCACATTGATCAGAAAGATTAATCTTAAATATTTTCTCTCAGAGACCTGGTCTCTCCTATACTCTCTGGAGCTCATTTTTTTATTCCGTAAAATGCAGTTAAAAATAGGTAAATCTGACTTCCTAATGTCACAAATCTCATAAGTTGCATAGGGGGTGTGCAGGAGGCGGCTGATCGATGTTTCTCATCGATGTTTCTAACTTTCTATCCCTCTCCCTTCCTCTCTGTAAAAAAATCAATTAAAAAAAAAAAAAAAAGCCCAGCCAGTGTGGCTCAGTAGCCTAGTGTGGACCCATGCATCAAGAGGTCACTGGGTCAATTCCCCCCTCAGGGCACATGCCTGGGTTGTGGGCCCGGTTCCCAGAGTGGGGCGTGCAGGAGGCAGCCGATTGATGATGTTTCTCATTGATGTTTCTCTCTCTCTTCCTCTCCCTTGCTCTCTCTCTAAAATCAATATAGAATCAATACAAACATTTTTTTTAAAGAGTGTATACTAAAGCCATGGAAAACTAAATTGGAAGACCATTTCTGTCATTCACTAAGCTGTGTGACCTTGGTTAAGTCACTTCCTAATTCTTGGCTTCTTCATTTGTGTAATGGAGCTAATTGTCTCTACTTTAGGATAGTTGTTTTGAACGCTAAATGAGTTACTTCAAAAGTTTAGCACAATGCCTGCTCATGGTAAATTGTAGCTATAGTTATTTTTATCTTCATGTTTAGGCAACCAAATACCCTGTTTTCCTCTTATTGAGAAAATGCCAAACTTTTTCAAGAAAATTAACTTTTGTTATCTGTTGAAATCAAATTACAATAGAATGCCTGCCTGAGTGTCATCAATGTTGGGATTTTGTTGATTCTACTAGGGCCCTGTGGACACAATAAACTACATATTGAACATAGGTCTTCAGGGCAGAAATCTCCATTTCATAGAACATAAGTAGCTGGGTTTATTACCTGGGGGTGAAAAAAATCCTAAAATGGACATATAAGTGTTCAGTAAAATTTGTTGGTCTCCCAGTTAATTATTGTAAAAAGTATAGAGTAGAATTCATTTCAAATAGGCTTATAAAGATTTTTTAAAAACTCAAATAAAAGAAAACATACTCTTTTAAAAATATATTTTTATTGATTTTGAGAGGAAGGGAGAGGAAAAGAGAGATAGAAACATCATTGATGAGAGAGAATCATCTATTGGCTGCCTCCTGCACACCCCACACTGTGAACTGAACCTGCAACCCAGGCATATGCCTTGACTTCGGAATCAAATTGTCATCTCTTGCTTCATAGGTCAATGCTCAACCACTGAGCCACAACAGCTGCAAAAGAAAATATTTTTTTCCCCCCCAAAGGATCTATATTTAGAACTAGACTTAAATATTAAGCAACACAGATAGGGCAGAATAGTTGACTTGGCAAGAAAAACAAAACTCAAGACTTGTCCATTTCCTCAGAAGCACTTTCATGCTTTTACACAGGTCTTTAAGAATCATGTTCATTCTTTCTATCACTGCCCACTGTTGGGTGGAATAGCAAGCAGCAAGCCAATGTCTTTACTGGTACGTATACTAATGCATTTTAAATGCAAGAGAATTTCTATCTAAAAGGAAAGTCTGCTTTTAAGCAACAAAATATTTTTAACTGTTCTGTTGGTTATTCTTCCTCTTTGTAGCAGAGACACAGACTCTGGAGACCCTCCATGATAAAAATCAAACAGTAAGTAACTTTTGTGTGTGTGTGAGCTAACATTGTGTTTAACCCAGAGGAAAGAAAGTGTGGCTTTAGTCTCCCTTCCAGCCCACTCTTTCTTTGGGAAAAATGCCTAATCTTCCTTAGTTTCAGATTCCTTGACTGTAGCATGTTGCTGATAACACTTCTAACTGCTGTAACATGGGCCTGGTGTACGCATGGAATGCAGTGATGCATGTGAAGGCCAGGCACATAGTTAGCCCTGGAAAACTAAAAAGAAGAAGCATTAGCATTGTGTCCCTTTTCTCAAAGTTCATAGCTGTACACCACTGTGGGCAAGTCAAAGATCCTCCATCTCCCTAGAACATGTTTTTTCTTGCTTCCATTGCAATCCAATTGAGAAAGATTATTATTTGTTTGAATTTATTTATTTATTTATTTATGACAAGATACCAGTCAGGAATATTCTAAGCCAGGAATTTATATATCCAACTATAAATAAAAACAGGATGATTTTAGTGTCCCCCACTTTCTTCGAGTAAAGGAGAAAAACCTCTTGAAAGCAAACTTCTAGCATTGATCGAAAAATTCTTTGAGGACTTATCTAGGGGTCCTCATTCATTTAACTCAATCTCGTGCTTGTGTGTTCACAACTGAGGCTCAACGTTTTGTATTTCTCCCCTCTTTGCGATCAAGGACTGCCTTTTAAGTGTGCACCCATAATGCTTGATGCACAATACCTTGCAAATAGCACTCCTGTAGTAAATGTTTGTTGAGTAAATGGAAGATTTAATTTCCTTGACTTTGTTTTAAAAGTGTTTCCTGTTGTTGGTTTTAAAGGGGGACCATGGACTGAAATTTTACAAGGAGAGGATTTTCTGTGTGACTCTCAGTTATCAAAAAGTCAAATTAATTACAGCAATAGCAATAGCTATTATTGATTAAGCATTTATCATGTATCAGGCCCTATGCCACGCATTTTGTATTTTTTGTCACTTACATTTCCCAATAACTCTATAAGATGACTCAACTCTTGAGGACTGAGCTTGGAGTTGAACTCATGACTGTCTGGCTTTTAAGTCACAGTTTTTCTGCAAAAATAGTGGTTTCACTGCAAGCCACTAAATTTAGACCATTCTGAAATTTTATGGGAACACAAAGGGGTGTGAATGAAGAGGATTCTACTCCAAAGCCTATTTCTGTGGGAGAGGGGAGTCCACTTACTAAGAGCTCCTTCTTTGCACAGCACAGAAGGGCACATTTTATTCCCTTGTGAACTCCAAAGATTAAGTACTTCGTTTCTTTGGGTGTTTTGAGGCTTGTCGAGAAGGGAACAACAGATCAAGGGTGTTTTCTAGGTTCCTGTATTCCTGTGATGCTGCAAAAAGGATGGTCCAATGCATAAGTCATGAAAATGGCTGAGCATACAACCTATTTCTGGCCATAAGCTGCAATTCTGTTTGTGTTTCCATAGCAAATATCCACATTGGCGGATGAGTTACAAGACTCTGGTTACAAGACCACCAGAATAAGTGTCTATATTGGAGCAGGGGTCACTGCTGGGCTGGCTCTGGTTCTTATCTTTGGTGCTTTAATTCTCAAATGTAAGTCACTTGATGTTGTATGTCTTTCCCTCTGTTAGGAACTGCTAATATAGGAACAAACATAAACCTAGGTAGAAATATAAGTTTATATTTATACCTAAAGATGATTAGACTGGCTCTGGCCAGTGTTGCTTAATGGGTACAGTGTTGGCCCATACACTGAAGGAAGGGTCCTAGTTGTGATTCCCGATAAAGAGCTCATGCCTGAGTTGCAGGTATATACCATCCCTGGCCCTGGTCAGGGTGCATGCGGGAGGCGACCAATCAGTGTGTCTCTCTCACGTTGATGTTTCTCTCTTCCCCCCTCCCTCCCACTCTCTCTAAAAAAAGCAATGGAAAAAATATCCTCGGGTAAGAATTTTTTTAAAAAAAGTAATAGACTGCATAGTAGGTGTAGAGAAACATGTTTTCATTATTTCTTAAAGGTCCTAGAATAAAATTGAAACTTTGATTATGACTTTAAATGTCCTATAGATCTAGCTCTAGCCTACCACTCAGACCTTATCTTGGGTTACTCTCTTATTCCAGCCATGTTTTCAGTTTCAGGCACTCACCGTGTTCTTTCTCAGTTTTCTCTGCGTGGAATGCTCCTTCTGGCTCTTTACTTGGCTGACTCATTCTCCTCTTCCAGAGCTGACCTTCAAGGTCACCTTTTCTGAGAGTGCTTTCCTGACCTCTATTATAAGTTCCAGTGCATTGTGAGTTTCCTTTATATCATAGCACAATGAGAAATTATTGTTGTTATTATTACTTTTGAAATCCACCCTCACTAGAACACAAGTTTCACAAACTCGGGGCTCATAATTTACCTTTGTGTCCTTGATGTTTAACATACTGCCAGACACAAAGTAGGTGTTCCATATATTTGTCAAATATGAAAAATGGCCCAACCAGCATGGCTCAGTGGTTGAGTGTCGACCTATGAACCAGGAGAATCACAGTTTGATTCCCAGTCAGGGCACATATCCGGGTTGCAGGCTTGATGCTCAGTAGGGGGCATGCAGGAGGCAGCCAATCAATGATTCTCTGTCATCATTGATGTTTCTATCTCTCTCTCCCTTCCTCTCTGAAATAAATAAAAAAAATTTAAAATAAAATGAAAAATGCATCTTTATTACTTTCAAGCATAGTTCATGTAACAAACCAAGACACACATTAGTAGTTTGATTTAATTCAATTTAAGGGAAACCAGATTTCCTTAAATAATCCTTGCCTCCTATGAGCCCATTTTTTTTTTTAAATTTATGAAAGCAATTTTAATTGACTTTTCTTCACCTTTTTACCCAGGGTATTCTCATAGGAAAGAGAAGTTACAGACTTCCAGGTAAGAATAAGGGATGAGGTGAAAGAAGGTGGGAATCTTGGAGGTTTCTACACCAATATGGCTTTGATCTTTGCTTTTAGAAGTTCTGCCCTGGGACTCTGGGATCTAATCTTATATTTCCTTTTTGCTTTAGGATTTATGAAATGTAAACATGCTCCTCTGTTTACTTCCTGATCTCTCTAGCTTCCTTAGTCCTAAAGTTAAGGTATAGAAGTCATCTCCCCATGACAGGAAGTGCATATTTCTTTCTATTTTAATAAGCCTTTTTAGTTGACCGACCCTTCAATTGATGGATTATCTACTACATTCAGGCTCTGGTTGGGCACTGTGCCCCATAAGTAAACAAGAAACCAAGAATCTACTCTCAGGGCTTTTATAGCCAAGTCCAGTTGTTCTTAACTTTGATAACCCATTAGAATCACTTACACAATCTGTTGTCATCCCCAGAGCAAATAAACCAGATTCTTTACAGATAAAGTCTAAGCATAGATATTTTTGTAAAGCTTCCCACGTGATTCTAATGTGCAAATAGGGTTGAGAATGACTGGTCCTTTATATTGCAGTCTTAGTGTCCATTCCTGACTATTTGCACATAGGTCTGTACACACATATGCATACACCCCAGTTCCATTTACATATAGCGTACATAACTTTTACTTCATTTTAGCAACATTTGGTACATTGATAGAATGCAGTATGTATCAAGAAAAAAAAAACTCTGTCCATTGAATACTATCTAAACTAATAATAATTTTAGGCTAAATAGAGACAGTATACTTATGAAAACAAAATAGTCTACAGTAAATAGTCAGAAGCCAAAAAAGGTCAAGTAAAATATGTATCAATGGTTTTAGATTATCTGTGTCACTGTTCTTTAATAGAGCTGAAACCTGAAATGTGATAACATTAATAGTGACATTTACATGCATTAATTCATTATTTGTCACACCATTTGGTTAATGTTCATCTCTACCTATAAAGGTAAACTCCATAGAAAATAAGGAACTTGTCTGCCACATTAACAACTATATCCCCTAGCACAGCACCTGATACTTAGTAGGCACTAAGTATTCAATATTTTATTATGAATGAATAAATGCTCCTTATAGCAGCCTGGTCAGATTGAGTGCTAATTATTCCCATTTTACAGATGAGGATCCTGAGACAAAGTTTTCTAATATGTAACCTTCATGGGATGTGTGTTTTATTCACTGCTGTGTCTCTTGCTGCATGAAACAGTGTGTAACACACTAAATAGTTCCCGAGCAAATGAAATAACAAAACTCAAGATTACATGGCTGGTTTAGTGACAGGGATAAAATTCAAACTCAAATCTGATTGGATATAGAACATATTTATTTCTTTTTTGTTTTTTGAAATTGTTCCAGCCCACAAAATAATTGAACTAATGGTACAAGGAATAGTAGAATCCTTCACCAAGATGTGTAATTTAACATTTTAATATGTTTGCTTTACCTATTTTTTATACACACGTGTGTGTTTTTTCTGAACTGTTTTCAGGACATTTCGACATCTTGACACTTCACTAAACTTCAGTTTGTATCTCATCTGAATAAGGATATTCTCTTAGATCACACAATGCCATTGTTTTTGTTTCCAACAATGCCATTTATGCACCTAAGGAAATTAAGAGTAATTCAAATTGTCTTAATGTTCTTCAAATTATTCTGTTTTACGGTTTCTCCCCCAGTCAGGACCCAGTCAAGCATCATGTACTGTATTTGGTTGGCATGTCTTCACCAAAGCCTATTCTCTTTTTGTTCTATGTCTCCTGGGAAATGCTTACCTGAAATGCGACATTTTATTTCCACAGCCTCATCACTTTGGCCAACCTCCCTCCTCCCTCAGGGTTAGAAAATACAGTAGCAGAGGGGATGCGCTCAAGGGAAAACATCTATACAATTGAGGAGAACCTATATGAACTGGAGGACCCGTCTTCGGATTACTGCTATGTCATTAGTGGGTAGCAAGCCTGACAACTCCGGGTCTTCACCCTTCTATGCCATCAGACCGGGAGCTTATATTGTCTTCTTTGAAAGCTATCAGATGTGTCAGCTGATTGACTTTAAGGTTCTGCCTGCGGCTACCCAGCATTCTTTATCCAGTTTCTGAGGATAAGCTCACAAAAGGATTGAACCATCATCTACCCAGTACTCAGACTTGTTACTACCTTACCTCTGCATTCCAGCCAACAGGTTACTCAACTCAGAGACTGCTAATCAGGGCATTAGAACTCAAATGAGTTTCTCTGTGAAGTAGGAATTCTTAATGTGGGGACTCCTAAATTCCAGGATTTTCAGTCCCATGATGTGTCCACGAAGCTCCTGAGAAGGTGGGGCGGGGGTGGGGGGGAATTACGTGCTGAGCTATATGCATGCCTTTTTGGGTACAGAAAGTCTAAAGGGGCCACTGATTTCAAAGAGAAGGTTGACTCATAAAAGGTGAAGAAACTCCTGGAGTAGACTAGATGGCCTTGAAGGTTTCCTTTGCGTCTCAACGTTTAAGCTTCTTTGAATGAAGGCTCTCCTACAGATACCAACTTACACTCTCCTTCTCCAGTGAAGAAGTCGGCTCAGCAAGCCGTGGTGTGGCAGGAGCTCCTGGGGGAAAAGGAAGTGCACTCACTCATGTGTGTTGTCAAGTTCTGCTTGGGGAGAACTCAAAGGGAAACATCTCTGACCAACTTCTCCATTCAAGGAGAGAACCGGGGACATGTTTTTCACAGAAAAAGAAGCAGTGACTGGGATGCCTATTCCGTTTCCTGGTGGAAGGAAGACGAAGGGCTGCAGCAATCTG